CTTGAGTAAAAACCTCTGGCAGGGGCAGAAAATTGTTACTGTCGAGGCTACTTACTTCCAACCCATCCAATTTGTATGTATATATTGGTCTTTCTTGTCCCATGGTCCTGAGTAGAACTTCTGTTCTCCTCCCTCTCACATGCAGCTTTTCCGTCAGACTTTCCGTACAGAAAGTTGCAGAACTTCCAGGATCAAGGAAAGCATAAGTCTCTATTATGTTACTCCCATTGCAGGCCTTAATCTTCACTGGCAGAATAGCAAGTTTGTAGTCTAAAGAGCCGACCTCCGCCTGTTCTGCTGACACCATGGCAATTGTAATTAAGTTACTGCAACCTTTATCCTTCTGGGAAGTGTATTGCTCTTTGAGGGGCATACTTTCGACATGGAGAATTGTTGGGTGGCTTTTGTGACAAGTCTTACAATCCAGACGTTTTCTACATGCTTTGCTCATATGCCCCTTTAGAAGACATGCAAAGCATAGTCCTTTTCCCTTTAGAAAATCAATCTTCTCTCCATGAGGCTTTAACACTATCTGACGACATACTTCCAATGCATGATTGCCAGAACAGAACAAGCAAGGGGCCTGTAATGCAACACCTATAGCCTCATGGCTCTTTGTTTCTTTCGTACTGGATATCATTGGTGATATTGAAGTAGCAAAGCTTTTCTTACTCCCGGACTTGAAAGGACGAGACCCTGTCTCGGCCCTAATGCCTTTTGTAGCAGAAATAGGGTCTAGAATATTGCCGAAGAGAGGGTCTTGAAGTATCTTTGCCTGTTTTTCAATAAAGGCAACCACGTTCTGGAATTTGGCTCTACTGTGTGTTCTTTCAAGAATGTCACATGCTGTGTTTCTCCACTTTTCACGTAGTTTATATGGAAGTTTGGATATAATCTGTTTAAGATTGGAAGGTAAATCAAGATCAAACATGTTAGGAAGGTCTTCCGCAGCATTGCAACAGCCTCTCAAGTAAAGTGCATAAGCATTAAGGGCCTTTCCATCATCGGTCCTGATATTACTCCAATTCAGGGCCTTTTCCATATAAGCACTGGTGATTTTCACTTCATCACCAAAATGACATTTGAGGAGCTTCTTAGCTTCAGCATAACCCCTTCTAGTATCCATATGCAAGCAGCTTCGTACAAGTTCCTTGGACTGGCCAGAAGTAAATTGTTCCAGATAGTAAAGTCTATCCCTATTATTGTCTGTATTATCTTCTATGCCATGTTCAAAGGCTTGCATGAAAGGGCGAAAATTTAGTGGATCTCCGTCGAACACTGGAATTTCTCTAGATGGGAGTAAAGTGTGTTTCTGCTGCAAGACCAGTAGTTCAGCAATGTCATTTTGCCTCCGCACCACGTTCGAAAGATTCATATTTGTAAGCCCCACGCCTGTGCAACTAACAGATGGATTTTGAAAGGTTGTAGTAGGATTATCAGATGTTACTGTCGCATCCTCGACATTGGACTTTCGGTGTGCTATTTGGTTGAGTTTTGGAGGTTGAAACATTCTTTGCAACGGAGTTTTCGGGATAGCTCCAAGTTGAACAAATTCAAAAGATGGCGAGGGTCCTGGTAATGTCTGATCCTGTTTCGTTGATGTATTCTTAGAATTCGCGGCGTTGTACTTTTCAAGATACTCATTCATTTCGTCCTTAGGTTCAAAAGATTGCTGGGAAATAACAGATCGAACTTGTAGACTTGGGCTTCCTGTTGTTGCATAGTCTTCAAAGACCTTCAGTTTAGCATCGTTTGCAGCAATGTCACATTCCAGATTTACTGTTTCCATTCTCCTATTCAAAGCAGCCTTTTCCATTTCTAGGGCCTGTTTTTGTTTTAATGCGGCTTTGCGAGCAAGAAGGGCTGCTTTATCAGCAGTTACTTTTATCCTCATTGATGACACCGATGATGATATACTTGAGCTGTGAGAACTACGAGATTTATGTGACCTCTTGGACACATTCGAAACACTATCACTTGGCTCGATGAGTGTTTGTGGATCCTTTTGAACATTTTTCCACATCTCATATTCACTCATAAAGTTCTCAAATGTAGCCATTTTAGGCTCAAACCAGTCAATGCGCTCATTTTCTCTGATATCATCAGATAGTTGTTCTTGCACAAGCCTATGAGCAGTCTTAAATTCTCCAAGTGACGTAAAAAATGTCTCTGCACTTCTTTTTATTGATTCCACATCACAACCCTCAGCAAGCAATGCCTTTACTTCATTCATCCTACGTGTGCACACACCAAGCCTTCCCCTACGCATAGAACTGAGGGATCCAATGCTTTGTTCAACTCCATCCATTTCATTTTTGGACATTTCATCAGCCATGTTTGACACAAACAAGCACAATCAAGTATCCATCTTTCCATAGAATCAGCAGGCCACAATGTACAGATAAGCATCAGCTTCTTGTACCATGCTTTGATCAAAGCCAAAATTCTCAACCACAGCTCTTAGAAATAAGTTCACCCTTGTTTACTCACGCATTGGATGAATTTCAGAATCCTTTCAAAGCTGTCGATCCGTGTCACTCATGGCTTGATCATTCCAGATGTAGGCCTTGATTGGGCCTACCGCATGCCTGCATGTCCTTCTTGGGAGTTTTTTGACTTAATGTAATGGCTTCCTTGCCTTCTTAAGCCACTTCCATGAGGGAAAGTATGTTTGACGCTACACCTGTTTTAACAAGACTTGAGCTTTATTGTAACAAAAAGGTGAAAACTTAAAAACAAAACTCTGTGCTCCAAAACAAGCAGTGTGATGTAATGTAGGTGGATCTGCACCTACATTCATTTTCTTGGTGTATGTTGTAAAATCCTTCTGTAAACTGAACACCACTGGAACCACCCCATGTAATCAGTCAAAAATAATTATTTAAGCTAGTTATTTATATGAATTGTTTGAAATGCTTTTTTCTAATTGGATCAAACCGTTTATTAATGTTCATATACATATTTTCAATGGCCTCATGCAAACAAACTCTAATGTGTGTCAGGTCTTTGCCTTTCATTAAATGATGTGCTCTGTGTTTTTCTTCATTGCTCTTGGAAATGAGACAGGGTTATGAATGATCTGCTCATGTAACGCATTTCACTCTGTGTCCATAGTGTGGTGCAGTTAACATGACAAATGAGAGTGCACATCAGTGTACTACTTGTAATGTAAAAAAGTATCTTAAACTAAATGAAATGAAGTAATCCTGAGATGAATTTGGGTCATAACTAAAAAAAAAATTATAGGAAGCTTGTATTACACTCTGATACTCAAGGAGGAATGATTGCATGATTATTCCAGTCTGTTAATGGATATGGGAAACTATTTTAGTATATTACATTTCTTTATTACTCAATAAAACATAAAATAATCATGTTTTTTTAAGCATAGCTTACAGTGTAATACAATTGTGTATGTCATTGCCATTTATTATTGGATTCCAACCACTATATGTGCCTTGATTCATATTATGTCTTGTTGTTTTTATTTAAAGATTAAATATTTAATATCGAACTTCTCGACCCTCCCCTCCCCTCCCCTCCCCTCGCCTCCCCTCCCCTCCCCTCCCCTCCCCTCGCCTCCCCTCCCCTCCCCTCCCCTCGCCTCCCCTCGCCTCCCCTCGCCTCCCCTCGCCTCGCCACGCCACATCACTTCCTGCTTAAGATGGCTACCTTCAGGAAGTCCCCAAAAGGGGTGCAATTCTTTCCCTTTACCCCCGGGGGGAGTTCAGACAGTAGTTACATATAGCCATAACATTAAGTAACATTATTAATAGCCTTATGGCTCCTACACCAAGTCTACCACTATCTGCAAATTCAGAAGTTCGATATTAAATATTTAATCTTTAAATAAAAACAACAAGACATAATATGAATCAAGGCACATATAGTGGTTGGAATCCAATAATAAATGGCAATGACATACACAATTGTATTACACTGTAAGCTATGCTTAAAAAAACATGATTATTTTATGTTTTATTGAGTAATAAAGAAATGTAATATACTAAAATAGTTTCCCATATCCATTAACAGACTGGAATAATCATGCAATCATTCCTCCTTGAGTATCAGAGTGTAATACAAGCTTCCTATAATTTTTTTTTTAGTTATGACCCAAATTCATCTCAGGATTACTTCATTTCATTTAGTTTAAGATACTTTTTTACATTACAAGTAGTACACTGATGTGCACTCTCATTTGTCATGTTAACTGCACCACACTATGGACACAGAGTGAAATGCGTTACATGAGCAGATCATTCATAACCCTGTCTCATTTCCAAGAGCAATGAAGAAAAACACAGAGCACATCATTTAATGAAAGGCAAAGACCTGACACACATTAGAGTTTGTTTGCATGAGGCCATTGAAAATATGTATATGAACATTAATAAACGGTTTGATCCAATTAGAAAAAAGCATTTCAAACAATTCATATAAATAACTAGCTTAAATAATTATTTTTGACTGATTACATGGGGTGGTTCCAGTGGTGTTCAGTTTACAGAAGGATTTTACAACATACACCAAGAAAATGAATATTAATGGAAACATTGGCTGCTTCCAATATCGCATACTATATAGTAGGCGAAAAACAGTATGTGACGAAAGAAGCATGTCCGAATTCACAGTAGGCTACTCATAAAAGAGTAGGCAAAAAGTACCCGGATGACCTACTACTTTCTGAAGTGTGCATACAATGGACACTTTACTATCCCATGGGGGCACGGGAGAGGATCTGTGAATGGCGGTGAAGCGACGCAACCGATGCTGGTAGGTCGCATGATACTGACAACATGGTGAATGTAGTGCACCCGGATTCATACGGAACACAATTTCAGATGCAGCCATAAACTTTCAGCCACTAATATAGTTATTGCACAGTACAGTTAAAATGATTTATTCATTCTGCTTGACATACATACTCACCAATGTCTAAACACTGCACTACAACTGTACTATGTTCACTGTCTATTTATGATCACAGTAAAGGATACAAAGAACAGCAGAACCTGGTGGTGCTTCATGGCACCAATAAGTCCAGCAAGGGCAACAAAGAAGAGGAAGACCCCCACTCCAATGATGCCACCCACCACCTGGAAGCTCGACACCAGCCCAAAACACTTCCCCCAGGCAGCGATGCCAATCATCAGCAAGCTCACCATCTGAAGTCAGGGAGGAACAGTGGTGTTATTGTAAAATAAAACTACATTGACTTTCATTGCATGGCTTTCATTAACTGAAATAAAATATTAAATGAAACACTTTTACAAAAATTAAATGTAAATTACAAGTGTTGCCTAAGCCACTACTTAAAATAAATAAGTTTAATTGGAAGTAACTAGTAACATTTAAACTGAAATAAATATAAAGCTAAAAAGAAATATTAAAATACAAAAACGAACACAAAAATGTCCTAAACACATAAAAATACTAAATCTAAATTAAAATGAAAGCATAAAAATAAAAGCTAATTCAAAATATTGATAAAAACTATAATCGTAAGTCCTATATAAAAAAAGAATACTAAAATAACTGGTGAGGAAGCTAAGATAATATAAGAAATCACTGAGGGAAACACAGGGATAAAGACAAGACACTTTTGGAACATAACTATAATTGAGTAATCATTATTATTATTTATATATGTTTTGATTCTCAATATTCAATATAACATTATCCCACTTCAGTGTCAAATAAGCTAAAAGGAGAGTTCATGCTGCAGAATCACGCCATGTCGTAATTACCGAATTAAAAGATGACAACACGTGACGCTGTATTCGTAGCTGTCCCCGGATTATTATACATTGATTTAAATTCTCTTGCACTATTAACTCCAAAATAAATCTGCAGTGGTCGCGTCACTCGACTCGCGTACAGCGGTCACGTGGTACAAGTCGTAGCTCTCAGAAAATTAGTCACGTGAATGCTTTTTTACAAGTCAGAATAGTTACGGTAATCACACTATGTAATTGCCTATAATTACACGACATGGCTTGAACCATGTTCATTCAAATGTTTTTTTTTGTTTTTTTTTTTTACATAGGCCTAATGGCAGATTCTTAAACAATTTCCCAAATCCTAAAAGTTATTGCATTGTGTAGGCTATTGCACACACTAAACAAAGTTTTTTCCCCCCAAAAGGTTCAGTTTAATTTTAATTATGTCAGTGATGATTCATGGGAGTAGCAACAAATGGCAGGCAAATGGCGAGAGAGACCCAACAGCTGTGATGTCACTTGATGTCAATTATTTATACAAAAGGCTATTCATTCCTCAAAAGCAGATATTATTCTTTAGAGATTAGTCCATATTCATTGACCGACAATGAGAAATTACCCCTGCTCTGACCTCTAACAAGTGAATGACCAGCTCATTATAATTTTCTAGTTTCTACACTACTGAGATAAGAACTTAATCAGCACCACAATTTCATCTCGAGACTAATGAAGCAGGATATCTGCATAAGTAGAACAAAAGCAGGATGTGGAGCAGGAAACCGGGATGTTATTCTACAGGCTGTGCGTGAAACCAGAACCGCTCATCGGCCTCATTCCACACAAAGAATCTCTCTAAATAATTCACATGAGCCCTGAGACGCCGAGAACTGTATACAGCCGCACAGAAACACCTCTTGTATGAGTATTTATAAAACACATGTGCAAATGTTACGATAAAGGCTGATAAAGATGTTCCATATGGTTGCCTCTTTTCATGCATTTGTTACTCACAACATAGAGGATGTTGAGCGCGCACAGGGAATTCTTGGAGCAGGTGAATCCAGCGCAACCCATCTTGAATGTTTTTTTTCCGGACAAAAGCTTTCACCTGTATAAAACGCCTCTGGAAATTTCAGTTACATGACAAGCAAATCGAACAATTTAAGAGAAGAAAATGTAGTTGAGCAAGGAGAAAATACGCGTGTGGTTCAGACCAATTCACAGTGAACGCTGATGCGTGAGAGGTTGCCAGATCCCACCAAATAAAATCCATCCTTTTTTTTTTTAGGATGATGGAGGCCTGCTCTGGGGTGCGTTTCCCAAAAGCACCGTTAGCCAACTATGGTCGCAAGTTCCACTGTAACGACAGAACTTATGACTTTGGGAAACGCACCCCAGAGCCAGAACACACACACACACAGGTCCCTCTTTCTAATAAATAGCCTACAGATGCAAATTAATTCTGCCAAGCTATAAAAACAATAACTTATAATGAGTCAGATACAATAATAAGAGGCTAGTATGAATTTGTATTCTCAAAAAATAAATAAATAAACTATTTAGGCCTACAAAACATTTCAATGAGGGCTTTACTCCGAAATGGCAACCATTTAAAGAGGAGGAATTGGCCGCCTGCATGCGGTAAAATTGATTGGTCAGTTTTTTTCTGAATAATGATTGCACAGAGTGTGGTTTGCACGTATTCCCGCCTCCCCTTAGTAACAGTTGCGATGAGAAGCATTTATTCTCCAAGACAACAATAATGGATAAGTGTAAGATGGAAAACATCTGGACATACATTATTGTCATAGCTGTTGTCAAAAGTTGTGTATTTTTATGATGTAGACCTATATAGTCTACTGCAGTTTAATGATTAAAGTGGCCAACAAACAATCTATGATATTTCAGCACACACACACACACACACACTTTGGGTTTTCATGTTTTATGGGGTTTTATAATAAACATAGGCCTAATGATTTTCTTACTGTACAAACTGTACATTATAATCCATAACCCATAAACCTACACGTCACAGACAACTTTCAGCATTTTTAAATTTTATATACCACAATTGCAAATCAGGTTTATTGGCAAAATTTACAGACTTCAATGAACAAATCAAACAAATGATTTTTCATTAACAAAGTTCGGGAGGAACACGTTCAAATAATCTATCCAATCAACTCGTCATCAGCAATGCCACGTCTATCCTATCAGCATGAGATGAAGCCTATATACAGAGTCGACTCACCGACATTCCTTAACAGTTTTCAGCATTTTCAGGGGGGGGGAGTACTCTGGGTTCGGGCCAAATACCGAGCTCGGAGCCCTCTCCTCGGACAGCATGCCAAATACACATACCATTTATTCGGACTTATTTGTAAGTGTGAACTCGTGAAAAGTAATTGAAATAGCTCAACATCTTTCAAGTGGTTTCCCCAAACTCAAATGCAACTTTTAATGACTTCTGCAGTCTCAAAATTATTCAACCCCTTCATGGCAAGCATCTTTATAGTATTTAGTAGAACACCTTTTTGCTATTATGACCTGCTGAAAATGAGATGTATAACCAGACACCAGCTTCTGGCAGGATTTCTGAGGAATCTTGGCCCATTCCTCATGAGCAATGGCCTCCAGTTCAGTAATATTCTTGGGTTTGCGTGCTGCAACCGCCTTCTTCAAATCTCACCAGAGATTTTAAAGTCAGGTGACTCTGATTGCCAGTGTAGAATTTTCCAGGACTTCTTCTGCAACCAAGGTTTGGTAGAATTTAAGGTATTCTTGGGATCATTGTCCTGTTGGAAGGTCCAATGACGCCAAGATTCAGCTTCCTCAATGACGGCATGACGTTTTCTCCTAGGATTTCCCAATATACAAAAATGCATCCATCTGGCCTTCCACACGCTGCAGGTTTCCAGTGCCAGAGGATGCAGAGCAGCCAGGGACTAGCCTCAGTGCTTGTGGCCACCAAGTCTTGCTGCAGGTCTTTTGCAGTCACTCGAGGGTTTTTCTGAACCTGCCTTCTCAGAAATCTGTTTGCAACCGTTGATAGCTTCCTTTTTTTCTGCCCCATCCAGGTAGTGTAACCACTGTTTCTTTAACTTTGAACCTGCGAACTATGCTTCTCTAGGAACATTGAGTGCCTTCGCTATCTTTTGTATCCTGTTCCTTGTTTGTGAGGGGCGATGATATCTTCTCTTAACTTTATGGACCATTCTTTTGACTTAGCCATATTTCTAACATGCAGTCAAGTGTGTGACACTCAACAAACCTAGCCAGATCAGGTATTTCATGTGTTCTAGCTCAAGCACACTTGGTGTAACTAATGAAGCCCTTGTTTAATTGCATCAGGTGTGCTTGAGAAAACACCTGTTTTGCAGATTTGTGCTGTTGTGAGGGATTCTATTCAGGGGGTTGAATAATTTTGAGACTGCAGAAGTCATTAAAAGTTGCATTTTCAGGGGACACCACATTTGTTGTGTTGAGCTATTTTAATTACTTTTGTTTGATTTGTTCATTGCAAACAGCTGAAAGTCTGTAAATTTTGCTTATATATATACACTCACCTAAAGGATTATTAGGAACACCATACTAATACTGTGTTTGACCCCCTTTCGCCTTCAGAACTGCCTTAATTCTACGTGGCATTGATTCAACAAGGTGCTGAAAGCATTCTTTAGAAATGTTGGCCCATTTTGATAGAATAGCATCTTGCAGTTGATGGAGATTTGAGGGATGCACATCCAGGGCACGAAGCTCCCGTTCCACCACATCCCAAAGATGCTCTATTGGGTTGAGATCTGGTGACTGTGGGGGCCATTTTAGTACAGTGAACTCATTATCATGTTCAAGAAACCAATTTGAAATGATTCGAGCTTTGTGTCATAACGAGTCCCGTAGAGATCAAGGGGAGGTGGCAGATATCATCCCAAAGAGGATTTTTATTAAAGGCCAGTGGAGTAGTAGGGGTGTACAAACTCTCAGTGAAGTGTCACAGAAACAATTCCAAAATTAAACCAAAAAATATATTTACAAAAATAAACATACACTGGACTCAGTGCAAACTTTGATATAACAATAACCAAAGAAAAACAAATTGCTACAGGCAGCAAAAATCTTCATGATACGTTCAGCAATATAACCCCATCCTTTCCTCCCAAGGTTCAGTTTAGACTGTCTTATATAGCCTAGAACAGGCTCATTACACTCAAGACCATACCAACTACAGGGGTATCAATACAAAACCTTAAATATATGACCATAATCCAATTAACTTTCAAAAATCAAAAAATCAATGAAATAAACTCATTCAGCAACTTAAACTAAATGCAAACACCATAAGACATTTCTCCATGCCTACATTACCAAGGGTTAAGTTCCCTATTAGTAAAAATGGTTTAACCCGACCCAACAAAAAGGAAAGCTGTGGACCCGCCCCATCCTTTGAGGAGTCACAGGAACAGGAAATGGTGAGTAGACAGCATGTGGGGTAACTGTTTGCAATGTAGAAATAAATACAAAATCGAAATAATAAATAACAAAAATGCATAACTAAAAACTTGTCTGTGTGGTTAATGAGAAAATCAAAGAGAAACTATAGTAGACATAACATGTTGTGAAGACCACTGATATGTGCACCTATCTGAAATCCACTCCAACAGCATATCTTAAACTTATTATAAATGAGTATTATAGAATAATGAACCTAAGGGACTGCACCATAGTCAACAGAAACACAAAACCCTAAATAACAAATGAAAAAGAAACATAAGCCCACAATTTTTAATGACTACGGCAGTGATGACGCCATCTTAGCACCCATCATCACACTTTGTGACATGGTGCATTATCCTGCTGGAAGTAGACATCAGAGGATGGGTACATGGTGGCCATAAAGGGATGGACATGGTCAGAAACAATGCTCAGGTAGGCCGTGGCATTTAAACGATGCCCAATTGGCACTAAGGGGCCTAAAGTGTGCCAAGAAAACATCCCCCACACCATTACAGCACCACCACCACCAGCCTTCACAGTGGTAACAAGGCATGATGGATCCATGTTCTCATTCTGTTTACGCCAAATTCTGACTCTACCATCTGAATGTCTCAACAGAAATCGAGGCTCATCAGACCAGGCAACATTTTTCCAGTCTTCAACTGTCCAATTTTGGTGAGCTCTTGCAAATTGTAGCCTCTTTTTCCTATTTGTAGTGGAGATGAGTGGTACCCGGTGGGGTCTTCTGCTGTTGTAGCCCATCCGCCTCAAGGTTGTGCGTGTTGTAGCTTTACAAATGCTTTGCTGCATACCTAGGTTGTAACGAGTGGTTATTTCAGTCAAAGTTGCTCTTCTATCAGCTTGAATCAGTCAGCCCATTCTCCTCTGACCGCTAGCACCAACAAGGCATTTTCGCCCACAGGACCGCCGCATACTGGATGTTTTTCCCTTTTCACACCATTCTTTGTAAACCCTAGAAATGGCTGTGCGTGAAAATCCCAGTAACTGAGCAGATTGTGAAATACTCAGACCGGCCCGTCTGGCACCAACAACCATGCCACGCTCAAAATTGCTTAAATCACCTTTCTTTCCCATTCTGACATTCAGTTTGGAGTTCAGGAGATTGTCTTGACCAGGACCACACCCCTAAATGCATTGAAGCAACTGCCATGTGATTGGTTGATTAGATAATTGCATTAATGAGAAATTGAACAGGTGTTCCTAATAATCCTTTAGGTGAGTGTATATAGGCACTCAGTCGACTCACTTACATTCCTTGACAGTTTTTCAGCATCCCTCCACCACCCCGACACCTCACTCCCGGCTTGTTCCTTCCACAGCCAGGAATACGGGGGGAGTACTCTGGGTTCGGGCCAAATACCGAGCCCGGAGCCCTCTTCTCGGACAGCACGCCTAATATGCATACCATTTATTCTAACTGACTTATTTGTAAGTGTGAACTAGTGAACAATTTATTGGTTATTTGGTTGCGTTGTGAGTATTTGCAACTCGTATCTGTATTTGGTTGCTTTGTGAGTATTTGCAACACATATCTGTATTGGGTTACATTGTGAGTACTTGCAGCGCGTTTCTGTATTTGATTGCGTTGTGAGTATTTGCAGTGTGTATCTGTATTTGATTGCGTTGTGAGTATTTGCAGTGTGTATCTGTATTTGGTTGCGTTGTGAGTAATTGCAGTGTGTATCTGTATTTGGTTGCGTTGTGAGTATTTGCAGTGTGTATCTGTAT